CGCCTGTAGGTACAAATGTACAAACAAGCTACTACAGGGTGTGCTGGGGTGTGAACACGCAGCACATCACATGCTCTGTAACCTGTTCTTTGTCTAGATTGTTATGTGCTCTTACTGCACACAACTGGACTTCATGGTGCTTCTTTAGCCCAGAGGAAGGTGAGTACTCAGGCTAGGTGACCATGTTGGGCCCCTCATTCTTTATATACAAAATTATTTTCTCCTGGGAGCTACAACTTTTAAATATCTTTAAATAGATGCATCTCATATTTCAAACACACATGCACATGGCAATAGACTACACCTGGGAAGAAACTGATGTTGAAGACATCAGAAATATCATCAGGCAAAGTAAAACACATTTTAGGAAACTCTTCCAAAAGCAAAAAAATCCCTGAAATGAACTTTCTGTTTGGGAAGATTTTTATATTCTGCTTCCCTTGAAAATCTAAACATTCAGCACATACTTAATTTTAAGATTGGGAGTGGTCATATTAAAGTCAACGAGATGAAATAATGCATGCAACAGTTATGCAGGAACAAACTCCTTGCACAGTTAGTGATTTTCCTTACTTTTATAACAGATCTATTTGAATGACTTTGGTAAAACAATTTATTTATTCTCTGGAAAAGCATGATACTCTCTGTACACAAACCTCTCCCTAAAATACCAGTGGATGTGCATGCATACATGTGTGCACACAAACACAAGTTACTATGTGCTGACTGATTCCTTGTGTTGATTGTGCAAAAGGCTAAAGGATGATTCACCAGCTCACTAAACCTTTTATAAATAGGTATCATTTTCTCTGTATTCTAGTGAATATGTGGATGTTGTTGGTTATAAAAGAAAGAAATGCCAGAGGCTCTGAGATGGGTGTGTTACATAAAAGTGAAAGCCAATGAAAAAGCTGTGTGTCATCTGCAGCATCCACCCAGCTCACCTGAAAACGGAGAGCTGTGAAGGTATGAATGACAATTCAGCAAAATCAGCCTCCCATGGGATTGCTTTTTCTAAATGCAGTGATTCATAATAGGCAGTCCAACGTAGAGACAATGTTTAAATTCCTGAAGAAAGCTGGCCATGATAAACACTAAGGCAATACCTGAGATAAATATACTGTAGACTGAGAAGGAAATCCATTTTAGATGGATTACTAAGAGAATTCACCTTCTTTGTCTTCTCTGATGTATAATTAAATTAAACTAATCTACAAAAAATCTGTCCTGCACTATCATGCTCATTACATCTAAGTCGAAAATATACAACCAATTTGAAACATAATTTTAGATGTCTGACGCTAAAACTCCAAATCATGACACAGCATACCAGAAACTCTACTTTCAGAACGTAAAAGTCAGGCATAATATAACAGGGGTCTTAAATGTATTTCTTTTAAAACTCAAAGCTTGTATAATCAATGAAAAACACTAGGATTCAGAGTGCATTTCCAATTTGCTGCAAGTCTGAGACCAAAATAATTTTTTGATTCCGTTATGAAACTGAAATAAAAAACACTCCTTTTGTTCTGTGGCCTTCTAAGATATCTAACAGTAACCTCTGGGCTAATTTCTAAAATGAGGATGGACATAAAGCAACTACTTGTGTGTGATCTTCCCTGTAAATGTAAGAAGTAATAACCTTGAATTCCAGTCTGACCTCTGAGACATATTGAAATCAAATACCTAAAAGGGAAGCGTATATTCCTTGCTTTTTTATAAACATCTTTACACCCTTTTACAATCAAAACCTGAAACTTTTATTTTAATCAAGTTGTGGGAACCTATGTCTGTAAAGGCAATTGTTTATATGTTTATTTATATATATATATAGCATTTTAATAATTCTATCTGAGAAAATGTTATTTTTTAAACTTTAATATATTATTTTAATGTAAATTTCTGTTTTTATTTCTCCCTTTTTGTCAATCCAGGAAGCCATTTGAAAAACCCTAGTGTCAGAAGTGTACCTTCCTTAAGAAGTCTACCTACATACCTTCCTATCTGTTATTAATTCCTATAGCATTTATACCAATTCCATTAAAGGTCATTAAAGTATTTCAAGAATAAAATTTTGAAGCATTTTGCCCTCCGGTGTTGTGTGATGATAATTTTGCTAGATCTGCACTAAACTATGGTAATATATCACTACACTTTTCCAACTTTACCCTGACATTTATCGTGTAGCCTTGGGTACCTTCCTTCATCCTCTATTTCCCTGACTAAAGCAGGAGCAGTAACAGCCCCGGGGGTATCACACAGCACAGCCTCTCCCAGGTGTGCAGAGGGCTCTGCTGGCTCTCAGGTCACCAGGGCACTCCCGTAACCCACTCTTACCTTTGCCTTTCATTTTGAGGCACGATGGAATTTCTATAGGAATGTTTTATGCCACATACAAAACTGAACTCCTTGTCCAGAATCATAAACCATCTGAAGTTTCTAGGAACGTGAATTCTACTCAGAAAAACCAGCAAAATTCTTCTTTTGAGATGCAGGTAGTGTTGTGGCATTCAAAGGAGTGCCCTGCTGACCCCCTGGCTCCTACCCTGAGGCAGCAGGTAGGGTTACTTGGTATCATTGCCTTAGCTTGGATAACTGGTCATAAAATTAAACTCTTTTAAAATTCCTGCAACACTACTCATTTCCATGAACACCTGCAGCCCTGATTTCCACAGACCAGTTTTAACTTTAGGAGAGAAATATTTCTTTTACTTTCACTGCCTTTCCTATTATGGTATCTTGCTAATTTCTTGTGGATTGAATGGAGTCCTCTCCATTCCCAGTTTCCTATTTCCTGAGCCTCTTCATATACATGTTAAAATCCTTCTTCCTTAAATAAAAATTATTTGTATGCTGTATTATGTATTTGCTGTCATGTCACCATTAATTACACATCTAGAATTAGCATTTAAACAACAGATTTTAGAGATAATTAATTGTTCAAAGCAGCTCATGTTGTTATAGAAAGAGAAATCCCTAAGTTCTTCCTGCCACTGGATTTTTTAGTAATTACTGTTCCTTTAATATGCAGCCCTTTGAAGAACTGAATACACTATAATATTAATCAAAATATGGGAAGTTGCTAGTTTAAGAGGCTTGTCTTTATCTTCCAGTTCAGATATATCAAGCTGGGTTTCCTGAGAGGTTTTTAGTTTTGTTTTTTTGGTTTTGTTTGTTGTTTCACTTTACTGACAAGCACTGACCTGAGGCACGTTTCTGTATCACAGTTACAGCCCATCCCAGGGATCAGAGATACCACCCTACTTCTCCTTAAACAGGAGTGATGGTGAGCTACTTTGTGTATGGACAGGGGAAGAAGTAGAAAGAAAAGGAAGTGGATTTGGCTGAAGCAGATAAGGTGAAATGTTTGTTTACACAGCCTGAAAGTATGAAACTTCACTTCCCAAGCTTAGCAATGCCACACTCTGTGTGTGTTTAATTTGCCTGTAAATGCAGGAAAGGAGAAGGGATTTCCTTGGCAACAAAAAAGCAAGGGCAAGGACATTTGGAGGTGTATTTCTTGACCATTGTCTGACAAAGCTACTCTGACATGCTGAAGAAGAGCTGGAAATGAGCACACCTGAAATTAAACTCAGCACTGCAGGGCTCGAGGGTCTGGCACAGAGGGAAGCCACAGGGGCAGCTCCCTGGCCTGGGGTAGCAGTGCCCCAGCTCCTTCAGAAATGGTGTTTCCAAGATATTATAAACATTTAGGAACTAAGAAACTATAAGAAGAGCTGAAGCACAGAAAGGGGTGTCATCTCCTCTGTTGTAAGGTGGAATTTGTGTGTGAGGAAAGTGTAAAACAGACCATGCCTTCAGGTCGGTTCAAGGCCTGCTCACCTCCTGCTCACCTCACCTATTGGTAAAAAAGGCAGGAAAATGATCTGTTGAGTTCTTAAACAGTTTAACTCTCTTTGATATACCTTAACATTTGTGGATAACACCAGTAATTTGAAACATTAAAATAACCTCACTACCCCTCTGTGTGCCTATAACTACTTATGTGTGTTATATTATACAGCAATAAGTACCCCATAGCCAGTGCAATATGAATTTGCTGTAGAGAAATGCATAGTTGTGTTTTTAAACACATACCAAGTATTTTTTCACTTTTTGCTGTTGTGCTCAGGATGCTAAATATTTAACTTTATTCAATCAATGGCATTCATCTAAATGAAATGAAAGATCATATCACATGGCCAATGAGTAACACTGGCTATTTGTCTGGTTAACTCCAGTCAAAGATCAGTGACCCAAAGCAGGTAAAATTCTCAGTGCTGTGTGTGATAACATCTCTGTGATCAGAACAGTGTATGCTTCCCCAGCTCTTACACTCACAGAATTTCCATGTATTTCCAGTGGTGAAAAGATGTAATTTTTTGTATCTCAGAAGGAACAAAGTATCTTTCTGTTATTCAAACAGAGAAAAACTGTAATGAGACTTGAAGAATCAAGGAAAGAAAAAAGGCTAGATGTAGGAAAAATACTCTGAAGTTCTTCTATTACAATTCTTCAGATGTAATTTAAAGTTACAAGGAATGTAAGTATAAGTGAAAAAGTAGCAACCTTGAAGTGTTAAAAAGAAAAAAACCCATAGTTTTTTCTAGGAGGCTCCTCCTCTTTATACAAAGTTGCCCAACTTAAACCACCACATAAAATGACCATTGTGGCTTGTGGGCATTATTCCATGAATAATTTGCATTAGCCCGTTCTTGTTCTTTGTATTTCCATTGCTGCTGAGAATCTAACAGGTCCCTGAGTGCAGTAATAATCCTTACTGACTCTTGCTTAGCTCCATCGAGGTCTCCACCTGGCAGACCCTGCCCAGAGGTCCTGAAGCCTATACAAAGTCAGGCCTGGAACTTCACCCCCACCTGACCTGTGTTGTGGGAATGCCTGTTTGAGTTCTGCCGTGCCTGTGCTTGGCCATGTAACCTTGCTGATACAGGCCCCGACCTACAGACTGATTTCCTGAGGTGACCTCAGCCCTGACTTACCACTGTGGTCCTTCTTGGTGATCACTGGCTGTTTCTGATGCCGGTTATTCTCAATGGACCTGATCCTGATCCTGACCCTGGCATACAGATTGATTCCCTGGCATCACACTTGGACCAGCACTGTCTGCATTGAGAACAAACAACAGGAGCACAGAGTGAACCCAGAGAGACAGAAAATCTTCAATTTTCATGTCACTTTAGTCATCACAGAACAAAGTAAGGTATGTAAGGTAAAATGGTTGGGGTTCTGTGTAACATACAGTGCAAATCTTGGGGTACAATGGATATTTAGGGCAAGCATGGATACAACCCTTTAATTCTTGAGCTCTTCTTCCTAGAAGTGCTTACAGGAAGTTCTTCAGGAAAGTCAGTTTCTTCTCATTCTGATCTTTTTAAAGATAGGATTAGTCAATTAGTATAATGCTATTCAATGTGACAAATATAATAGGATTAATTAAGCCAAGCCTTGTTCATAGATGGTAAAAGCATTACATACAGAAACTAAACACTGCTATAGAGAAGAAGGGAATTTGCAGCCAAATCTCATTGATTCTGTTTTCTCCTTTATTTTCTGAAAGGAAATGCTTTTATGATCTTCTTACCATGGACACCTTCAACACTGCACACACCATTCCTAATTAATCTCAAGGAAGTCAAGATCTTTTGAAACTTTTTGAAAACACCTCAAAACTACCAAGAGCATATAAATCAATACTATCACCTGGGATGAGGTGTGGGCTACTCAAGACCAAGAGTCAAGGCCCAGCTCAAAATGCTTATTGATGGTTTTGTTGGGAAGAAAAAAAAAAAAGTTATTTTCAGCATCGACTTTTCACCAATTGGCATGAGGTTATTATATTCTGTCAGACACTCTCAGCTTGCTTAATTTATGCCATGTCTGAAACAGTGGGGGCTTGGACTCCTGAAAAGTAAGAAAAAGACCAATTAGGTCACTCTGAAATGAATAGAACTTGAATGCTTTATATATTGTTGTGTTTTTTTGTGAACATTTCTGCTTCAATGACTTGAACCTTAAATACGATTCACAAATTAAACAATGAACAAAGTACCTCACCACTTGTTTCAATGACTTCCAGAGTATCATAATTAGGCCTAACTTTTTTTAAATGGAAAAGCCACATGGTGTCAGGAGAGAGCAAGGCATGTAAAAAACCTCCCTGCTAAATGCTTCCATCAGTTGTAACTGACGTTCCCTTCTACAGCACAGCTGAAACTTCTTGCCTGTATTTTTAAATTTAATGGGCATTAACATAACTCATTAGTTATAATGCTTAAAAAAGCGTCCATGACTTCTTAGTTTCTGCTACTACTGACCCAGTTCAATGAGGAATTATACAGTGGATGTTAATATTACAGGAACTTTTGAAGGTATGTAGTGCACTTAAGATGCGGAATCTGCAACCTGTTTTCAGCTTGTCCACACTGCCGCATCTTCCCACAGCACCACTGATGCAATGACCAGAAGTGATCCTCATATGGCTCTTTTCCTATGGTTGCTTTTACAGTGACACTACCAGGCTGATGACAGGCCGTAAGTAGTGCTTCAAGTTCATAATTCTCTGCAAGTGAACTATTTAGCCCTGAATTTTTTATGTAATGTGCTACATCATAAACAGATCCACTGTGCAAAAATGAAAAATCTGCTTTTTCACTTTAAGATCTAGTAGAGGCAGTCTAAACTAATAATCCTCTGATTTAAAGCCATCTGGACACCCCCTTCACCTTGTGGACATCCATAATTACAATGCACTAATGTTTTGAGATGTCTCTGTACAGTTCTCACTGTTAGTACCTACGCAACTGCAGCTGAAACTGGAGTGTATCCAGTTATTTCTGCCATCAAGATGTAGTTTAAATATCTGATTTCTATTAAATGAAGAATAAGTGGATTTTGCAGTCATAACAGAGGTATAAATTCCTAACTTAAGAGCTGTGACTCTTTAACCTGTATTGGAAGATTCCAGTGCATCTTTTTCATTAATTCCATCATTTAAATCACTGATTTGACACATTCCATAAAATTAATTTTCTTCTAACCTGAACCTTTCTTCAGCTTAAATGAATCTGGTTTAAAATGTTGAATCCTTACTAAGAACCACCTGCATGACTTTTTGATTTAAGGGGAAAGAACACACGAAGGAATCAGATTGCATATGATTCTCTTATCTCCATACCTATCAGAGCAAGAACTTTCTTAGAACTGTAAACAGTGTTGTAAAGTTTCTGAAATTCCAGTGGCCATAGTCCTGGTCACACCCAACTCTTCATGCTAACAGGAGCAGCATAAGCTACTCACCCTCTCAGAGGACAGGGTTCTGTCTCTAAACTGTATTACTGGATATTTTTCTTTAACCAATTAACTACCAGTGGAGATCACACTCAGAAGTTTTCTAATAAAGAACTGTTTTAGGGATTGACTGATCTGACAAGAAAGCATTTACAAAAATCTGAAACTGTGTTGCAACAGAGTAGCTTTCACTTCCCTGTCTGTTCTCTTTGTATACTCAGCTTTCACAGCTGAACTTCTCATTTTTGTTCTAAGTCCATATGGTTCTTAATAATCTTAACGGACTTACTTCTCATGCTTTTCTACTCAAAAAAGAGCCAACAACTTCTCCTTCCTCTTCCCCTTTCCCAATACATGCACACAGGGAGTAATACAAGAGTTAGAATAACCTGTAGAGAAAATCTTCACCATTGTTAATACTTGTTAATTCTGCATCTTCTAAAATATTTATTCTATACCAGACTCTTGCTTGAACGTGAAAGTATTTGCATTCTTATGTTGTTTCTGTGCCATCTGTTAGCTTTCAGGTTTTATTATTCCTTTCACACAAGCACTGCAGAAAAATCTTTCTTTTACTCCTGTTAATAGTAAGCCTAAGAGTTCCACAATCACAGCCTTAACTGTCTTTAAAATGTCTCTTAACTTTGCTCTCTTCTTTCTACAAAATATTCTGATGGTTTTGTTAAAGAAAACAAAAAAAGATTTCCTTAGTATAATGCAGTTTCCCTGTTTCTGCCTGCAAATAAAGATCTCTCATATCCCATGTTGTCTCTAAATATACACAAAGCTCCATTGTTTTAATCCAGACATCTGATATACCTCTTGTGCCATGATGCTTACAGAAATGTTTTGATGATGTCAGCACGTAACAAAAGGTGTAAGGTCGATGCTTTTCCTTTATGATCTTTTTTATCCTTCTTGTATACTGGTTATGTATGAACTACAAATTCTTCAGGTTTCCCTTCAATCTTGTTAATACAGCATGAATTCAGTTTAAGCAGCATGATCCTACTACAGTAAACATGAAAAATTCCTGATGAAAACCCATGGAATGTTCACAGCAAGTTTCAGACTGGTTAAGACTTTAATGTTAGGAGACAAATGTTAGAAGATTACTAATTTTTACAGATTCAAACTATGTGGTCACCTCCTGGTACTCAGTGTTCTAAGCAGTGTTGCAGTGATTCCACATCATGTTCCCTGTACTCCAGTGTAATCTGAGGTGATTTGACTCAGGTGACTGAAGTGGCCTTCTCTTAGCTCAGCCTTCGTCCTTGCTGTGTCATGAGAAATAGCTGGACACTGAAACCACAGACTTCACAAACAAGGATGGAAGAGGTAGCAAGTATGAAAAATAAGAGGAACTCAAATGACATGAAACCTCACTTTTTTCAGAAGAGTGAGTGTCCTCAAGAGTTACTAGCAAGACTGATCTCACCTTCCAGTCACCATTTTGATCTAGCTTGATCAAGGAAAATCTTTGTTTTCTACCAGTCTTCCAATATAATCTGTGAGATGGATTTGTAAGGCGGTCAGCAAGAAGTATGAAGTATTGCTATCGTAAGATGCAGCATTTTGGACAAAATCTATGCTACACCTTCTGCTTGGCTGGGATCCAGTACTTTAGGAGAGGAGAAGATCCACTGTCCATTGGCTGAACAGGCCTACTGGAATTCCTGTTGCTTGGTGACAGAGCACGCTGGCATAGATGAAGTGGTAGATCTGGCTACATTGATGTTTAGCTGCTAAAGGAAGCAGCAGTGAACCTTACTGACATTAACGGTCCCCGTTACAGCGGGGCTTTTATCTGGGCATACCAGCATTTGCAAGAACTAACTCTATTTGCTCTATATAAAAGTGAAATAAGTTAAGACTGCTGTTTTAGTATATTTTACTACACCTCAAACAGCTTTCAAAAGAAACATAGTTCTTAAAGATGACTAACTACTGGAGGCAGCTGTCCAAGGCCACTAATGAGAACACAAGAGACAGTTCTAGCTCCTTGAACAGACCACAAGTTTTACTTTAATAGCACAGTTGTGAGTAAAAGGCAGTGGAGAAAATGTGAGAACTGAATACTGAGGCAGAAAATTCATGCTAGGTATAGGGCACAGAGTGATAGAAAGGAAAATTCTGGTCAGGCAGCTTGTAGTAGAATTTATCTGGGTCTTTTCCCACGCTGTGAGTTGTGAAACGCTTGGCTCCTTGTGGCCTAGGACTCCAGTTCAGTTGCAGTGCTCACGTGCTCCCGAGACAGTGGATCTCATCTGGACTGTGCTGTTGTTGAAGAGTGAGTAACTTGTCTCTAGAATATACTGGGAAATACAACTTCACTTTTTTATGTGGTAGATAACTAAAGGTACTGCTTTCTTTGTGAGACAATGTCATATTGTTATACTAAATGTACTAATAACAATTAAAGAGGTATTAGCCCAATGAAAAAAGCATTGCAGGTGGATGGGGTAAAGTCTAAAGGGCTTCATCTGTTGCTTACTCTTTGCTGCAAACAAGGTCTTGTTCAAGTGTTCTTTAATTTCAGTGAAGGAATCCTATTGAAGGAAAGCCCCCTCTGCCGTGGACTTCTTTCTTATTGAGAAGAAATAATGACTTTTTGATAACAAGCAGGAATAACAAATACACACGCAAAGTTTAGAGAAATATTTTCCCATTAGCTAAGGATCCTACTTCCCCATGGTTATTTCAGTTTACAAGTTAAATTAATACAACTTAAATATGCTTGGTTGTGACATAATCAGACTTGGAAAATTAAGTTCTAGTTAGTATTTGTAATTTCTTTGTAAGAATGAGTAACATAACTATTTAGCAGCTGTCCAAAACAAGATACAGGAAATTACAATATGTTTCTTAATCAGTAGTTATATTGATCTTATTACAAATTATTGACTTAAAAATTAAGAAGAGTAAGCATAAAAATGTTATGGACAATTGAAATAAATAGAACTTCAAAAGCAAACACTTGATAACATGCAGTATTTCACAGTGAGGTTGCACACATTAACAAAACTAAATTCCTTGCAAGTACTAAATTTATCAATTTCTTATGGTAAAGTCCACTCTATTCTACAAGAGAAGAAAAAGCAACACTCCTATTTGCAAGGTGAAGTTCTCCTGATGTTATATACCTTGTACTGCTACTATATTTTCTTACACATTACAAATAGTATCAAGGGATCTCTCCTTCCTTCTCACCTAAGGATGATCCAGTTCCTCCGTAATTTAATGGACATCTTGGAAGCTTAACTGAATCAAAAATTTTGAGGATACTAAGAGTATATATATTTAATACATCAGTAGTTGAATTGCCACTGAAGTATGCAATGTGTTTGACATCAAATACAGCGTGCAGTCTGTAATGATGTTTGTCACACAACACAGAGTTCTCATACCTCCTTTTTTTTCTGGAGACATGTCACACTTCACATTTGACTTTTTCAAACTTATTACCACGAGGTAATGCAGTGAAGGAACTAGACTGTGTAAACAACAATTATTATTTTCAAACTTAAACAATGAGTAAAAATAGCTTTAGATTTTCCACCAACCCAGAAGAGTATGTCATTATTGTACTTTAAAACTTCTTACTCACATCAAGAATTTAACTTTGGACTTTTAAAACTTCAGATTATATAAGGATTTTTGACCATCTAACAATTTTTTTTCTGAAGAAAGCTTAGCTTTAAACTTTCAAACCTTTCCTTTCCACGAGGAGTTCTTTCTGCTCACAGACTTCCTAGAAATCAGAAATAATATCAATGGAAAGTAAAAATGCTGTATTTCTTACAATTTGAGCTTCTACTCACCTTGCTGAGGTTCTCAGCACAAGTGAAATAATGCTCATTTCGTGACATGGATATTAACTTCTGAACTGAACTAGGCTGTCAGTGCCAATTCTTATAAAGCACACAGGAAAAAAAAACAAACCAAAAAGCTTTGAGCTGTCTCTAGCTTTCCCTGGACTGCTTAAGAAATGAAACTAGAGTATGAGGAGAAAGGACTACTGAAGAAATGACACAAATTAATCATTGAGTTCCTCGTTAGAGATTTTCTGTGCCTACTAAAGCATCTTCTTGTTTGTTTACAACCAAACTTCTTTTCTTGTCTTCCTCTGTTACAGTCTGACTCATCTGCTCAAACAGCTTTGACATCTTGGCAAATCTCAGGTGATTCTGAAATCTTCGTGCAGCAAAAGCATAAAGCAGAGGGTTAATACAGCTACTGATGAATACAAGCGCTCCAGAGATGTACACTCCTTTGTCTACAATTTTATCCAGTGCCAAAGACATCTCTTCATTAGAGAGTTCTATTTCAATCGAAATAATATCTAGGATGTTAAACACGTGGTGAGGGAACCAGCACAGAATGAATGCCACCACGATGCTGGCAATGAGACGTCCTGATCGCTGCTTAGATTGGTAAGTCATTCTGCTTATTCTTCTTGCTACACACACATAACAAGTGCAAATAATGAGAAAAGGGATTACAAAACCAGCAAGGGTCTCCAGCAAGAGATACGACACTTTCTGTCTGTTAGAAGAGTAGCTGCGACATGTGCATTGCAGTTGACCATTCATTTCTTCCGTCTCTTGAAATGGAATGACAGAAATGCCAAAAGTAATAGACAGGAACCAAATGAGGAACACGATAAAAGAAATCTTTTCTTTTCTTTTGTATCTTTGGATTGTGAAAGGGTACAACACAGCCACTAACCTCTCCAAGCTCAGTGCTGTAATTAGAAATATACTTGCATACATGCTGCAGTAAATAATGAAAACCAGTATTTTGCAGAACATGAGCCCAAAAACCCATGAGTCAGCAAAGGAGTAAATCCAGACTGGTAAAGTGATCAGTACAAGGACATCAGCAATGGCCAGGTTCAAGATGAGCAGGACTGAAAGAGATACTTGCTTCATTTTTCTAAGAACAGTCCAGATGACGATGCAGTTTCCAGGGGTCCCAATAATAAATGACAAGCTCAGTATTATGCAGACTACTGACCTCACAATATTCCATGTTGAGTGGGCACTGCTTTCCTCAGCTTGACTCATTCTGGAAATTCTTCAGTTCTTGATTGCTCTGGGCTCTGCTTTTATTCTGAAAGTGTTAGTCAAGTTCTTTAACTGATCTTCGGTAAGGTAACGTGGCCTATGATCTCATATCCTAATGCTCGCCCTTACAGACATCTGACCACATATGGCAGTTCCTGTTGTTTAGGAAGATGTGCATTTTTGCATTCAAAGCAAAAATAAAAATACAGTGCAGCATCTGACTTTGCTTGTAGTTTTATATCCATCATGCTTTCGCAGATTTTGAAGCATGTTGGTGGTCTTTCTCAGGTGTCCTGATCTAAAGAAACTCACTATTTTGTGAAGTTACTGATCTAATCAACAGCTCTGAGCAGAAAACCTCATTATGCTCTTCTACTCTTGCTCACATGAGTAACTCAACAGTTTATTTTACAGAAACAAAAAACCTAAGAGGGGTGTCAGATAAACTACAAAAGTGCATTATACGTTTGACGTCATTTTCTGTTTCAAAGCATAAAAACTTGTGCTTACTGCCTTCAAGTCACCCCTTTTAATTAAGCAGAAAACAGCCAACCACAATTTAGACCTACACTGGCACAGAGGAAATCAACACGTGCCCTCTAGTGAGATTGTCTTGGTGCAATAAAGTGGGTCGGGCCTGTATTTGTAATTCTCTGGGAAATTGCCATTCTTTAGCCAAACAATAACCATGAGAATATCCAGTCTGGATACAGGCTCATGGGAGGAAATGCTCCATGTCAGAGAGAAAATATATGATTATGTTGTCCTCCTGAATGTATCCTAAATTCTTCAGAATCTGGCCAAAGAATATGAAACTGTTCTGTTATTCTGATCTCAAAACATCTTCTTTTGAAGTTAAATTCTGAAATGTTAAAGGAGGAACTAAAACAGCAGCACCAACAGAAATGTTCAAGTCACAGAAGTGAAACTGGAAGGGTATTTACCATGAGAAAAGATTCACAGAAATGAAGGAGTTATGCATAGGTTTTTTTAAATTTAAGAATGTGATACAGATTATTTTCCTAATTTTACAAACCTGGCAAATATAGTGTATAATATCAAGTTGAAAAGTATTTTTCACCATGGAAAAAGGATTGCAACTTCATCACCCCCAAATCAGCTTAGCTGGTTTTGATCTCATAAGACTATAATGAGATCAAAGGCAAATCCAAAATAACTCCACTGAAGTATTATATCTTCAAAATACTATTTGTGTAACAAAGATTTTAATTTGGATTTAATCTGATACACGATTCCAGTTCCTTTCATTTTTAACTACATTTAATAAAGATTGGGTAGGGGAAAATCCCAACCAAGTTGTTTGTATTCTAAAGGGAATTTCTGAAAACCACCTGTGAAAATTAACAGGAAGTACTGGGCAACCTTCCTTCTTCGAATGAAATCATCTTTATACACATTATTTCTCCAGAAGTAACTTCATCAGGACTTTTTCTTAATTTATTGCCAGTGGGTTATCTACATTGAACTAAGATGCAGGTTATTATTGGGAAAAAAAACAACAAAGAGATGTCTAGTACCTGCTGTCACGCAGTGCTACAGGGACTGGTAGGTTCTTTAAGTGAAGCCAACCTTTTTTGGAAAAGAGCAGTTGTCTGTACAGCCATTGCTGTTAGTATAGTTCTAATCCAGTGGTGTGTGGATCTGGCTGAACTTCCAAAGCATCTGTCCTTACGTTTTTCAGAAACACGTTTCTCCACTTCAGTTGAAGTTTGCTTGCCAGATGGCCTCGGCCTCTGCCTGTATCCTTCATTTGAACAAGAAAACAAATGAGTCTCTGAACTGGGATTTCTGTTTCTAAAAAGATCCCAGAGAAGTATTGACATGCTAGGATTTGCTTGAAGAAGACTCTGAAGACATGCTATTAGACTAAATATCACAGATATCAGAGTTAATGTTAGCTAGTGAACATGTTTCTGAAGAGCTCTGTGTGACTCTTGGTTCACTATGAAAACTGCAGACTGTCAGCAGTCTTCAATATTCTCTAAAAGCATCTGACTGTCATCAAATTTACATTAGTAGTACACAAACTTAATGGAAAATTTCACAAGTGTTTCCATTAATAGGGGGAGCAACGCAGTATATTCAATTCCACGCAAAACACAACAGTGGCTGAACAACTCAGTATCTTGCTCACTCCAGTGACCAAATGTGGGTGGGCCTTTAACGAATGGAACTGTGAATCTGGACTTCAGACCAAGGAGCTCTGGTCTAATTCATCAACAGAAGTGAAATTAGGCTGCATCTTTGTGTTTAAAAAAAAAATCTGAAGTTTTTTTGTGCACATGCACATTATGTGTAGTGCAACAACTCAATCATCAACACGGGAAACTTTCTGTAAGTCTGTTACCTTTAGATTGGCAAATAACTTCTGAAAAATTTCCAAGCTCAAGAAGTCTGTGCTACTGTTACAAAGCACTTTGAATAGAATTTGCTTTGGCTAAAATGTCAGGCGTGTTTCACTCATCTTTCGAATTATTTATTTCACTTTGAATGCATGCACGAGCTTCCCTCTGGTGGATGCTCTGTAATTTACACCACCACTGAGCATTTTCAAACAGCTGTGTTTGCACCACTAAATGTAAATCAGAATTGATATTTCCAGCTTTTGGATATTTATTCTGAGAATCAGAATTTACCTTCAAGATTCTGAGAGTCTTTGGGTCAAAGCCTCTGCACAAAGTGCATCCAGCCCTCCATGCAGTTAAGAGCATCCCTGTAAGGACTGACAGACATGGCAAATCTGTAACACATAACTGATACCAAGAGCTGTACCAAAAAGACTCTAAAAATCCTCTTTAATTTTTGTCTTCAGAAGGATCCCCTGGATGTTTGTCTAGCAAATGACTGTAGAATAATGATTAGCCATTATCATGTATCTGCTGAGACGTTGGAAACTGATGTTATAACCTTGTTTGCCTGCTAATGCTGAGGGGAAAAAATTACTAGTCTGGACCCCTGAGTTCTTCAGCCATTGAATCAAGGTAGTATTTGCAGGTGTACAAATGTTTTATAAAAAGCTCGATTCAATGGTGTGAAAATGACACACTTTGCCTTGATTAGAAAACTATAGGCTAGTTCACAGCTGACTTAAGTGTTGCTTTCCTGATTACAGGAGAGTCTCCTATATAAACGGGATTTCAGGGGGGTGCAAAGCCACTGCTCTCTCTGCTCTGCAATTACTGCAAAGGAAAGTGAAGTGTAGGAAAAGACACACCCCAGGCATTTCTACGGTCTTGCAAACACTTTGTGACAGCAAGTGTGAGAGAGAACACTCTCAGTGCTGCTTTATTAAAGAGAAAATAACTTTGGGAAGAGCTGCCCTGGGATCAGTTCCGGAATGTAATAAAAGATGTGTACGTTGCACTATGAAGTTTGAAATATTCTGTGCTGGGTTGTTAATCAGTATTCTAAAGATATTAAAATATTGTATCCTTTTCTCAGCTCGGTGACAAATAATGACAATTTTATATGACTGGCTAGAGAGAAGATTTCCTTCTTGTTATGCTCAGGGAAACTGCTTTAGAACTTTGGCAGGGGAAGTGCTCACAAGGCCCCCGTTGTATGTACACCATACATGTTTACATAACTTGTGCCTCTCTTGCGCTCACAGACTGACCACTGGCAATCAGAAAACGTTTCCATGGTGAAAACCATGGTGAAATATTTTCCTAGTACAGACATATCAGGTGCATTATATTAGAGGTGTTCATTAAGGTAGTGAACTATATTTATAATTCTGACTATAAGCAGGAAGATGAACACTAATTATGCAGAGATTATTAAAAACTTATAGATATCTCTTTTCTCAACATTATTATTTACACAATTTTAGTTTCTTGTTACAGTACCAGTTTTGAACAGTAAATGTATAGATCTGTTACAGTTTAAGGTGAGACCTTGGCCTGGTCTGAATCAGCTATCACTAATTTGTTATTTGTTTGTCCGCAAACTGGTGCTGGCCAAAATCCTTATCTACACAAGCATATCTGGCACTACAATTGCTATTGGGTAAATCAAGTACAGCATATACAAACTCTTCATTTGAGTAATAAATTAATGAAAAATACTGCTTGGATGATTTGCTGCCAAACATTACTTGATTTTTTTTTTTTTTTTAAGCTAAACCTATGGCCATTTTACCTTGTTTACTGGGATTGCATGTAAATATTATTTTAGTGTATGATCAACGTCCCTTTGTGTTACTCATCAGAGTGATGAAAGTCAGTCTTTAGCAGTGCACCTCTTAGTGAAGGACCTGTGAGTAAAACCACAAACCCATACTTTACCCCGCACGTTTCCCTGTTGTTTTGCTGTTTCCTGGAGGATGATCTTACCTCAAGGGCTCCGCCCGTGTAGTTATGTATTTTCAGCACAGGGTGGCACTACTGATTTTTGGCTACGCCTGCAGAGCGTGGAGCTGAGGCCTTTCCCTGCACGCCGTTCAAGGCCACGGGTCTCCCCAGAACAGATTCTGCGGCATTAGAAGGTTGGATGGTTGTGACCAAAATTTCAGTATTGTTTCCAATTTTTTGATAAATTTATAGATAAAAATCACAATGTCTTTTTTGTGTTTTAGATCACATTATTTTCTAAACACTCATATTTCTAGCTCTCTTAGTTCTGTTTTGATATATATCCATTTCCAGTGTTACATTCTGCTGTAACTGAGGCAGTAATGGAAGCTCCTTCTGCAATAAAAACAACAATAATTTTAATTAAATAAATTTATTTTTCTATGCCTCTGAAGGAACAAAGTTTGGAAAGTTTGGTAAATACATTAACAATTGGTCCTTCAGTGTAGTTTCCATTTGTGTCTTCTTGTAGTCTTTATGAAAAGCAGATCAAATTGTAGTATCTCGTGTTGTGAAATAACCCAGCTCAGCAGATCTGAACACTTTTCAAGACTAATTTAATTCCTTTAATACCACTAGCTTGGGCTCTAGTGTGTCATGAAGTCTTGGTTTTGTGGCCCTGTATCAGGAGGCTGGTTAATTGTGCTGAGATTAGAAAGACTGTAGTAATTTTATGAGGAATACAAAGAGTGTTCTCCTGCTCTGCAGCAGCCACTGTAGGTGTGCTCGCTGAAGAAACTTGGAGAGGAATGCCCGGTACGCAGTAATTACCATACCTGACTTGCTGTTCTGCACGGCTACAGAAACCAGCACTTTGTACCACGCTGCTCTTCAGAGTGATCTTGTCCAAGCAATCTGAAAGAAAAAGTACTCAGTTACAGCTCTTTACTAAGCACACTCATAATATACTGTATGGAAGAAGTGTAAGATACGCAATCTTCAGGCACAGGGAATTTTTTATCATTCTGTAAT